TCCAGTCGTGAGTAATCAAGATCGTGATTAGAAAAGAGAGGAAGACTAAAAATCGCGAATATCAATTCTATGAATCGTGGATTTAGCAGATCAAGTGGCCAAAAGAAGACATTAGTACTGGTTAGTTCACTTAAAATATTGATTGCCTTCACAGAAAAGAGCAGGGGAGATTCATTTTTGCACTAATATCGCGTCGGAGATAGTTGTTGTATTTCACAATAAAAAGTACTGTAGGCAGGAGTATTTGAGAAGTTAATTGATAATCATCTGGTTAACAAACTGACTACAGCAGATTAAGGTTTGGGATAAAAAACATCCTGGGCAGATGAAATTTCAATATCTTAGAAGCGCAATGTCTCTGTACAACGAGGCAGGATGAATGAAGTTGCTCTAAAATGCGCAAAAGGCTAATTGAAAGGGAAAATTTTCTCGCTGAGATATTATGCACAATTTAGAGAGGGGTTTATAATTCCCTAATTCCAGAATATCGATGGATAAATCGATCATCCAAAGTGCTTCGGAAATCATCAAAATAAAAGGTTTCATATGATTGAGACAGCTTTTATAGCATATGTCGATGCCCTTAGAAACTCTAAATGCAGGTTTACTATGACCGTAAACGTTAAGGTGCAGAAGATGGCCAGCATTAACAAACGTACATGAACGTTTAGGCCAGGCGAGAGGAACGTACCAACGTCAACCGTGGAAAAGCTGCAAATAATTTTTTGGACACAGAATAATAATGTCACGACTGTACATTATGTATTGACAGGCAAATTTCAAATGGACAGCGTCTATTAGCCGCTTTGTATTTTGAAAAATGCGAGTCAAAGAACTAACGAAGAGGCATAATACGAAGGGAAATGGCACACTACCGAGAGGCAACCTACGACGCACAAATGCGGCACCAAAGACACTGACAGATATAATAGTAAGTTATATGATTAGAATTTTATCCTTTTTGCGACAGCGGTCTCAAGAGAAGAAGGGAGTGGCCCAGACGATCAAAGCTCCTAATATTACCAAAGCAGTTTGTACTGGATGCTAAACCTTTTTTCGGTACAGTAAGGTATGGTCAGAGAAAAAGTGCTGACACGCTTAACGCGACCAGACTTTTAAAAATCCCTTTTGAGGTGCAGTCAATGCCTCATTATCTGTCAGAGGGCGTAAAACCTTTTCTTAAGGTTTTAAAAATTTCCATACATTGGGGGATGCACGACACGCGACTCCTTCCGAGGGCTTTGAACGTTTTTATTTTCATAATTAGAGTTTTAAAATGGAAACTACAGTAGGTGAGCTAACTCATGAAATGTCAACCGGAATTCTGAAATGCGTTCTAGTTTCAAGAGTATTAATTAGGTAGTGTTGTAAAACTAAACATCCTGCAGCATAATTGTATAATTAGTCATCTACTTCAGGATGCGTGCTTTCGAACGAAATTCTTTACGACTGCATGCAAAAACTACACTCTATAAGATAGACTACATAAGTATCATGAATTTTTCTCATTGATTTTTGATGCCCCTACAAGTCCAAATATATTTCCTTGAAAACATGCATGAAATATCTGTTATTTCACTCATTCGGCAGAAAAGTACGTCTTCTTTCAATTTTGCACTCGAAGGAAGGGTATAATGCGGTTTTAAAAAGTTTTTAATTGTGAGACTTTCTAATGCCGTGGAATGGCGGTTCATAAAACATCATGTCTCTGCATTTACGGATGTGGCTTGTAAAGTTAACAATATGACCAAATCCACTGCTACATTTTACGAATCCCATATGATCTCCTCCTAATGCTGTGGAGAAATCTGTGGTTTTCCATACGCGGAAAATACACGGCCTGTAGTTTGGAAACCCTGCAAGTGTAACGGCAGGCCGGGTTCAAAATTATTCGGGAATTGGAAGAGTTTTTGAAAACTAAATATTGCCCTTCTTTCGAGTACAAAAATGGAAGAAGGCGTAATTTTCTACCGAATGATTAAAAGAATGAATATTTTTATACGCGTTTTCCATGAAATATAATTGCATTTTTGGGGGCATCAAAAATCAATGGGAAAAATGCATGTTACTTAAGTGATCATTTTTTGCATGGTATAGTTTCTGCACTCGGTCGGAAGGAAGTTGGTTCAAAAGCCGGTATCATGGGGTAATTGAATCATTATAGAATTATGAAGCATGATGGCTGGTTTTCCAACCCTACTTAATTAATATTTTCTAAACGAAAACGCATTTCGGAATTTCGGTTGACAATTCATGAGTTACACGACCTACTGTATATATGCTTGGTTTTGTCAGTTAATACAACAGCTGAGGATTTCTCATTAACAGATGAGTCTCCAAAATTTGAATATCCAAAGTTCTTCACTACATAAAAGTCTATGGGATCCAGGACAATGTAGACAAACCGTCCGAACAACCGGAAACACATTCTTAACCAGCTTTAGTGTTACCGAACTAGGAGCCAAGCAAAGTAACGCTTGTTTCCACCGAAACGCAACAAGTTCTGAAAAATAATTAGAGTTTTATGATGACGGGCTGGAGTTTATTGGTTGCGATTCTGAACAACTGCTTCATAGCTTTCGGGTCGTGTTTCACAGCTTTCTTTATAACATTATCCTGTCTATCTCCTCAAAATGGGCCATAAATCGCTTTCCTTATAAAACGGGCTGTCGACGAAACTGTTTTACACAGAAGTAGAAGTGGTGATAATTCTTTTCCCTTATCGGGCAAACTTTAAACAGTTTAGAAGCTTTTTGAGTGGTCCAGTACACCATTGGGCAGGCCTATTATCATGATTCCCGAATGCGAGATATAAGTCAAAAGGAGGGATTGAAGCCATCCCCTTGTATTTCGGTTGAGGAAAATAAATTGCCAGAAGGCTTACGAAGCACTATGACGGATTGTTAAGAGGAGTAGAACAGTAAACCTTCCACTTTGATAAAGGCCTTATATATGTGCAGATATCAATCTTTCAAACCACACAAAGCATTAATTTCTGTTATATGGCGTATATGGAAGGGTATCACCCGTATGCTTAAGAGTAACCTACCAACTGAAAAAATCCTGCCAGTTTTGCAACAAGTAATGCTTGATGATACGATCAACCCGAAGGAGCGAATTATTTTTTTTCTTAAGGGTGGCTTCCCAGACCGTTGCAATTCATGTGTCTCGCCAACGTTACTCACGAGCTCCCGATCGTAAACAACGTAGCGTCAGGCTTTTCAAATAGTGTCTTAGCAGGGAGCAGAGAATTGACTACTTTCCAGCAGGTTGCCGAGGTTCTTGAGTCAGTCTATTCTGCCACAATACTGAACTCCTAATCTGTCTTGAAGTTTCTTCAATCAGTCAGGTTCGTAACAGTCGTACCCAGTATTTCAAAGTCCCCTCCATTATTTTAGTACACCTTTCGACGGTGTTTTAGTAGCATCGAGGAACAACTCTGTAGAAAAGCTTAAATCCTGCTATAACCATAAAGTGATACTTTTATCTTGCAAACTTGGGAATAAAATCGTCCGGTAAAACGCATGGAAGTGACTTTCGGCGGGCGAAACTTTTACAATGCGCCAACGCAAACTGTCTAACCTTTCACTACGTGATTGATGTCCCACCTGAGTAAAGTCCATGTTCCAATACTCGGGTCTTCTCCTAATGCTTTTACTTTTGCCATTAGGAGACAAAAACACAGAAAAAGAGTAAACCATAAACACAAACTTTGGGGAAAAGAATCCGAAAGTTTGAAAAACCTTTATATAAATCTATCAGACGCCCTTATTAGATTGGTCTAGGAGCGGTCTTCGCCTGTTTTCTTTCCTAAATTAAACACAAGACTGCCATTTTGCAAAAAAGGTGGAAGGTGGAAGTCACAACACACAAAACTCTCTTGTGTCGGGAAGGCTGCCTGGACGGAAGCAAATGCGAATTATATGTTCTGTTTTCATTTTAGTTTTCATGTTTCGTGTGTCGGAGTGTGCGCTAAAGAACGGAGAAAAAAGTAGTAGATACTTTTTGAAAGTCGCCTCCCAGCTCAGCAGACTTTGTTTCATTGGCGTCGTAAGAATGAAAAAACCTGTGGTAAAAATCCTATAATGCATTGCTTTTAACGGAAAGGATCTCTTTTCCACCAAAATACGCATTAAATGACCAATAAATCTGGTCAGCTGTCGTAAATGACGGTGTCCACCATATGTTTCACAGCGCGGTCTTCGCAGGACGATGGATTGGGCAAGAATTAGTCTGGTGTGAAACAGACGTGCGCAGCATCAGCCTCACTCCCGCCTCTCCCGCATACCTGGGTCCACTGGCAAGACCGAATCGGGGAAATTGGAGGCGAGGTCGCGCGCAGTGGCTAACAAGATCAAACAGTTCGTAGTATTTGTTCTAGGATTCGCGGGATCTGCGCAGCCCGCTACCGTGACCCATTGCTGGTTCAGCGCATCTCTCGCGTGGCCCATTTCAGGGGGGAAGATCAATAGAGGAGTATATTGGGACATACTCATAAGTTTCACTAATTTGGCCCAAGCTTTCCTCTCAGTGTGACGCAATGCGTTTTGTAATAAATAAGGAACACCATACTACAGTGGAAAGTCTTGTCAACTGATTCATTATGAAAGGAAATCAGCGCATGGGCGAATATCTTCGGCAACTAACACAGCAAAAAGACATTTGAGACTGCTGTTTGAGTGAAATGACAATCTGTGGTGGCAATTATCTGATTAATCTTCATGAACTTCGCTTGCTTGGGAGTGCAGATGTTTTTTCTCCCAAATATCTACCTAATAAGTGGAGAGGAGTCTTAATTGCACTTGAGTGAAGTGTGTGAATGGACTTCAGTCTGGCCTGAATATAGCGTTTATTTGTCCTTTCTTAGAAAACTATCGTCCGAAGGATAGCGATCGACATCTTCAAGGACATTGTTCGGTACTCTACGAAACTTACTTTCAAATGATTCGTTTTGTTGACGAAAATTTTCTCGCGCAGTTGAGCACTTCAGGTGCGCTCGTATGAACACAACAAAAGGCACGTCCACAATGCGAAAAAGTTTCAATGGAGCCCAGACTTTGCGTGCCGAAGTAACGAATTACCCTATTAAGTTTCTCTAGCAACTGAGAAAGAAGCTACCCATTTAAGTAGCAAATGAAAAAAACTAACAGCTGAGAAGGTTTAACGTACGACGCATTCCCGACAAAATCCAGACATACGAACTGCGTTAACTCCACGGATAAGTCACCCGTGGACGTGCCCTCTAGTTCCTCCATGACTCTTTGTGTAAAGGCGGAAGATTACCGACGAAAACACCAATTAAAACTCCAATAGCTTCCTAAATTGCCATAAGATTGCAGTTTTAGTCGCAAGAATACCTTAACTATGAGAGATCGGAAGATGAAGATGCGATCACTGGGACAAGAAGTTTATTTGCCTGGCGTTTCGGATTCTCACTCGAATCCATCATCAGAGACATTCGCAGATAGAGGTGAAGGTGGCACCAGGAGTGCAGTATTTATAGCACGTGGCTGCCGTGGGACCGTATGCGCACTGCAATTAACAGTTCTCACAATCGCCGCTGGGGTCGTAATTGATGCGGCGGTGGCTTGGCGGTCCGAGTCCGAGTTGTTAATCGCCGCGATTTCGTCATCCGTGCTCGGTGTTGGTGTGACGATTGCTCGGCAAACTGGCTCACTGTCACCGTGATAATTGCTCACCCGCGCCCTCCCCACGTGACTGATTCTCCTGCCCAGGGAAAATCGCAATACGGAATAGGGCACCGGGAGGTCATTGTGTTTGTTGATGGATTGCGGGCCTGAGAACCATGACTCGAGCAGCTCGCGGCTCACGCGGTTGTCACCCCTTGCGAGGATTTCGGCCTCTTGACATTTGAAAATATGGCCGGGTCCCGTCGAGTGTGCCGCCACCTGAGAGTTAGCGTCTCCCCGCCTCACTGCTGCTGCGTGCTCGGCAAGTCGCGTACGGAGTAATCTCCCAGTTTCTCCGACATAATTGCTTTGTCCGCAACTACACCAGATCCGGTAAACGACTCCAGACGTTTCCTGCCGTGGCAGCGGGTCTTTTCGCCTCATTACTTGGCGCCTAATGGTTGCTTCCGGCCTGTGTGCAACCCCAACTCCAAGTGGAGTGAGAAGACGACTGACGGCTTCCGAGACGTTCTTCACGTACGGAAGAGCCCGCCAAAATTTGGGGCTAGTTAGATTTGGTCTCTGGAGTCCGTTTCGTATGCACTGGTTGACAAAGTTGCGCGGGTAGCCATTGGCTCTCATTACCCGTCGAAGATATTGTAATTCAGCAACCTTGTCTTCCATTTCACTGCAGTGCGTCTCAACACGCCGGCATAGCGCCCTTACGCAACTGCGTTTGTGACTGATCGGGTGGTTGCTATTGAAGTTCAGTATTTGCGTCGTATTTGTCGCTTTCCTGAACACTTTGGTTTTTAGGCCACCACAATCTTTGCGGCAGACGAGGACATCCAGGAAGGCCAGCTGATTGTTTTCCTCCTCCTCCATCGTAAATTGAATGTCCGGGAAGACGGCGTTGAGTTGTTCTTTGAAAGTCAGCACCTGATCCCGTTCGATGACGACGAAGGTGTCATCCAAATACCGAGCCCAGAATTTCGGTCTGTGGTGTCGGAAAACCAGCGACTCCAGCCGTTGAAGGACCGCCTCGGCTATGAGTCCCGAAATCGGCGAACCCATTGGCGTTCCCTACACCTGCTCGTAGATTGTTCCGTCGAATGTAAAGTACGTCTTGAGACAGAACTTCAGGAGCTGGATGATTTGGGCGTGTCCGAGGCGATTCTCCGTTTCGTCGTACTTCTCTCGTAGGAGTAGTTCGGGATCGACCTATTCCGGGGAGCTTGTAAAACTACAGGCTCTGCGTCTCCATCTGAAAAGCCGAGTGCTGTTTACGATCTTGCGCGTGAAACTTGGGATTCAGAGAAGCCGTCCAAAGCAGTCGCATGCTAATGAAAAGTCAAATGTCTGAAAAAGTGATGAGTTAATTGGAAACTGGCTTCAGGGTAGACAGAGCGGTCTCATCTCAACTCTAATGTAGTCGCCCGTATTTATTTGACGAAGGTTCTCATTTTTTTTGTGAAATGAGCCATCCGACAGACTCTTAATTCTGAAATGTAAAAGTATTTTCTTTTTCGTACAATAACGAACTATCTTCCAGTTGACCTCAAGCATATTGACTTTGAGATTGAGTGCTTAGAACACATCAATGAAACGTTTGTTGTGGTATGCAACTCTATCTGCAAATGATACGCGATGCATTATTCCGAAATGCAACTTCACCAGTTTTAACTCTTTACTGTCCTGGTTGAGCTTTTGGAAATCGTGAAAAGACGTACTGGAAAGCTACTATATCTACCAGGGACAATTCTCAGTAGTGTTATGAGAATGCCTACTGCTTTTAACGCACGGGAGCATGCAAAAAACAGTTGGTGCCCCCAAGCCAGAGAGAATGGAACTGAAAAAGTAGCGGTGTTGAATCCTCGTGGGAGTCATTTGCTGTCGCTAAGCAACGCCATCATTGGTATTGATTGATCATCGGTGTTTGAGGCTTCTAGGCTCCGAGGGGAGACGCTACAGCCACATGCCACCCTCTATTCGGGAGAGATCGGCGAACGCCACCCCGTTCGTTAGCTGGCTGAACGCGCTCATGAACAAGGCGCCCGACTAGGAGCGATCATCTTTAACTGTGGAGCGAGCACACTGTTAGTGTGGCAGCTTCGACAGTATTGGAAGTAACCCGGTAGAAATGGCTGCAAACTGAAGAGGGCGGCCACGGAGATCACAGCACTGACAATAAGGTTTGTTTACCAATTTGGTGATTGGTAATCTGTCTTAGTATAGAGGTAAGTAGGTACGTAAGGGCGTTGTTTACTCCGCATGAATCTTTAATTTACCTGACCGTACTTATCCCTAAACCTGATTCATAGTGGGCAGGTTTAATAACTAAGCTGCATAAGTTATCCACCAGGCTGCTTTTTGAATCTACATGCTCTCCTACATTTGACTTAGCTGCAGTCACAAATGACAGTCAAGTATCCTAAAAAAATGAAAAGTAGGATATAACCCCAAAAGGGCATAAATTATGGCTCACACGTTCAAGGGCGAGGCACATTTTTCGTAACAGCGCAGGGTCGTTCGTGTGCTAGCCTGCCTATTTTTCTTCTCGATAACACCTCCCATTGTCCGGACAGTGTTTTCGGGGCTCTTTGACCTAAACATCCACGTGGAAGGGTGGAAATTTATCACACTCGATTCAGGAGCCAAAGTCAGTGTTTCCCCACAGTTTTTGCCAATGCCACTGAATGTTATAACCTGCAATGCGTAGTTAGACTTATGGATGACTAGTGTGCGAGTTTTGAGCCTCCGTGACAGAACATGGGCCGGAACATCAGTCATTGCAGTGCCTCCTAACGGACGCTGAAATCTTCGCCAGGAGTTTTTTAAAGTTAGTACTTCCTTCACATTTTCATCACAGCCTTCTTGGTCAGCGATTGGCGGAAGAACTAGTCTATACACTCTATAGATAGGAATGGCTGAAAAAAATACTGGCTTGTGTCAGTCAGTGTTTTGTACATTTAACGGGTCGTCTTTTTATCCAAATATGCTGAATTTTGAGACCTAGTAAGGGATCGGCGGTTTTTGTGGTTAAAACATGTATAGAAGGTCCTATTCCCACATGCTTTGACATGAATTGTCTTTAATCTAGGGTTTCGATTGCGCTCGATTTCTTTAGTGAGTTGAAACACTGAAAATACGGACTTCAGCTATTTGTTGAAATTTCCAGTTGAAATGCATTCAAACTTAATAGGGCTTAGGTAATTTCTTGTGCCAAAGTCTATTGTTTGTTTTATACCAAAATAGTTGCCTTTAATCTCCGGATCCCTACTTTACTCGAAAGACCTTCAACAGATTAGCCCCTGAGTACTGCGTGAAACACCAGATGACAGGACATACGAACAGTACAGTCTGGTCAACTGAGATAAGATACTTCATAATTTTTCTCAAGTTGTGTTACTTTCTTTTGGGATAGTAATATTTAAGTTACATTATTTCCAAAGTCAGTTATAGGCAATTTGTTGGCATTATCTCAAACAAAGTCGACAAATTAAATGGAAAAAAAGGATTGTTGCGTCGGGGTCAAAAAGAGTTTCATATTCATTTATTCTGCGGATAATTCAGGATCCGTATTCGCATGACCCACGTGTCCTGAGATCGCTTATTTGTTTTAGGTCAATGCTTTTCTCTCGACCCTTTAGGTGTGAAGATAATAAGGTTTCCTTAATTTTTCTTATAATCACTGCAAAGATTTAAAGGGGAACCTCCAAAACTGAATTCAGGTGCATAAATAGGACATTTAACTACTAATCTAGAGAAACGGTCAAAACAGTTCCCATAAAACTACAGAGAAACCGATTTCTTATGGCCACTGTATGGGAAATTTCGATCATTTCAAATTTAGCGCTTGAAATAACGAAGTACTTCTGCTTCAGAGAGAGGTGGAAACACCTGGTGTTTCGAAGCACAACCTGCTTGTCGTTTGTTCTTAAAGATGTCAAAACACAGACCTCGCATTCTCTTACATATAAACACATCTAATGCTACGTGTTTCTGTAAACAGGTTTCTTGATATGTAACGAAAGGTTTTTACTAATTCATGAGTTACATTGTACGAATGATCATGCAGAGTTCCAAAACGTAGTCAGAATTAAAAAAATTTCAGTAATGAAAACACTCTTATAAATGAAAAAACTTAGTAGGGCGCAAATTCCTATAAAGTGGGTACATGAATTATTTTTTCATTTCGTTTTATAAGAGATGATTCATTTTGCTCTAGCACTAAAGCCTGGCGTGGTATGCAACGTCTAGGTGGCCATGATTTTCCGAGTGACACTCGCAGGGCCGAATAGAACTTGCGATTGTGTCATCAGCTAATTCATTTGGAAAATCGTCCAAGTCATCCTTTCCGTCCGAAAACGTACCGGAAAGTGTTCATTAATTTTTCACAAATCTCGGCGCCTACTACATCTTTGAAAAAGGCCGACACAGAGCTTTTACTGGGTCTAGCTCACTGGTAGCATCAATCATTTCTTCGTAACTGAAAGTAAAATTAGCAGGTTGCAATTTCAGAGCGTCACGAAAGTGATCTAAACACAATCACTGTATTAACCTAATCAAATACTCCATAGCTGCAATCCAAAGTTTACTTCAAACCGACTTGGAATTTACATTATTTGCAACTTCTTAGACTGAGCGTCTGAGAGAATTAAGTATTATCACTGAAGATATCACGCAAATTGCAATGCTATTACTGCGGTTTCCTTCAATAAATTCTGAGTTCACTGTTTTAGAAGCCTTTCTGTTATGCTATCTACCGCATTCTTATAATCCTGATTCTTCCTTGCCGACTTCGTCTATGCTTTATGAGGCACGCGTCTCACTTCATACTCCTGACACTGAAACACCTTTTATGGCATTTGTTCAAGACCGTTATCTGCGATCGGTGTAGACGGAACAACAGGCAGATATTCCGAATAAGGCTGCATCACTGCGACACCCTGCCCAAAACCCCGAATTCAGTGACGATAAATTGTGTGCCAAAATACGATAAATGTATAACGCTGGTACCTTGCACAGAAAGCTACAACCGGGGCGAAAAGAGTTGTCTTCTCTGCTGGATGACGCTCACTGATGGCGTCAGTGGACCTAGTCGCCTAGTTGTTCTTTGAAGCTCGATCCGGAGCTCCGAGGGCTGTCACCCAACGACTATTAATATATGCTGAAATGAGATTACCAAAAAAAGACAGGGGGACCGAATTGGCCACTTCCGGCTTATTAACCGTCCTCAGCTAGCCAAACCCAATCTCTGAAGTTAGAACCCGCGTTCTGTTGGTTAAAATTTCAGCATTCTAGCCAGTGAGCCGGGGGCTCGTCTTCCTGTTGGCTTTGGTGGGAAGTATTGACAATGTTAGGTGGACGCTCACCGGCCGTTTACGTGACTCACACTTCCCGTATGAATGGCGGTAGTCTCGCACACACTACTGATTCTGACATCGCTTGAACCACAACGAGTTCCTCCGTGTGGTTTATAAGGTCCCACCGAATTACTCTGTGCCACTGCCGTCAGGCTGCGGAAGCTGGTCTTGTGTGCTCAAAAGAACCTCGCGCAAGCTCCGCGTTCGCCATGGCTAAAGGTCGGTCAACTGCATGCACTTTTCCATGACCTTCCTCACTAACCCCGGTACAGCCCTGCTTAGACTTCGCTGCCTTCAAATTTAATGTCTCTCATTCCCTCCCCCTCTGCCCACTATTCATTTGTATGGAAAAACTAAATGTAATCGATTTTTATTATCATTTACATGTTTGATTTGTACCCCATTCCCATATAAATGTACTGGTTCGACGAGAAGTTATCGAAAGCATACGCATACTCCAACTAATCTTCTAAAGTATTTCTATATTTTGATTCATACTTGAGTCAGTGAGACTACTATGTTTATTCCACTTTTGAACTATGTTCTAGATCAGGCACGTGCGGTATAGAGAAACACGCATTCTGTGTACTTGCGATTGCCGGGTTGTTTATGCTAATTTATTACAGGTCGGGAGACCAACCAACTGAAGATTACTTTGGAACAAAGGAAAACTGACAACACCACTGACTGTACCGGTTTTCTTCTATCAAGGGTGTGCTCGATGCTACGACGTCGGTAACAAGGAAGATCTCATGGTGGTACTAAACAGTGGCCAACACACGAACCAAAGAAAAGGAAGGTATACATTATTACACAGGGTCCCATCTACAATAAGTC